TGCTGACTCTGTAAACCGCTTAGAGAGGGCTGAAAGCCCTATGAAGCGGTATATAAGCCTAACTATTGCAAACATTGAATACTGGACTATGTTATACTGGATTATCCCTTAACTGAAAGACTGACTGTCTTATCCATGTATGAACTGGACTGTTTGATGGACTCTGATAACTATTTCCACGAAAGTAAAAGCCTATTTAAACTGCAGTGTCTCTGTAGGCTGGTTTGTGTGTTCTCCAATACAACTCTCACAACGCTTCTCTGAATGCACTCGCTCTCCCAATGGGGAGCTTACCTAACAGAGACCTAGAGAGCAAGACTCAAAGCAGTTCTCCACCCTAACCCAGAAGTGTCTGGGGGTTGCTCTTGACCCTCGAACAACAGCTCCACCTCCCCCGCTCCTCAAGTTTGGCAAGAAAGCCTGCTCCTCCCATCCTCCCACCAGATCCACCCAAGGAAGGAGAGAAATAGATCCCGGCTTGGACAAGCTGCCTCTCCCCGAGTCAGAAGAAGAAGCAAGCACCAGGCCGGGGCTCTTCGCCGTCTTTTTTTTTTTTAATCCAGCCTGGCACGCCCTCCCCCCTCCTCAAAACTTTTCAGCATCATTTTGGTGGGCATGGTTTGGTGGTGGGGTCATGTGACTGAGTGTGCCTGTGTGATGTCAAGTTGGCCACGCTCACTCAGTCACATGCCCCATCTGCACACTGAACCTGTAGTAAAAAAATTTGAAACCCACCCCTGCCAAGACCACACAGAAATACTGAACTGTAATTAAGCTAAGGGACAACCTGTGTTAAAAGAGAAATCGGGCAGAGGGCTTGAAGGATGGCTACTGTTGAAATTAAGGACAGTTCTCTGTCTTGTTTGGGACAGAAAAATTATATCATTTGGGCTGCAAAGAGGGAATGTTTCCTGAAAGCTAAGAAGCTCTGGGATATTGTTAATCCACCCCATGGGCCATTAGCAGCTGCAGATCACAGGCAGCATGATAAAGCAATGGCCTGTATCATCTTAAGTTTGGAAGATGAACAATTTAGCAATATGGCTAATTTAACAACAGCACAGGAAGTCTGGCTGAAGTTGAGAAGTGTGCATGTGAGTGTATCAACATGCAATGTTGTGCAATTATCAAGAAAATTATACAGAGCCTGTCCGCAACCAGAACAATCTGTGGAACAGAATTTTGTACACATGGAGACCCTATTTGTTGAGTTAGAACAGAGTGGCGTGAAGATTCCTGAATCTCAGAGGGTGCTGCTGGTGTTAAACAGTCTGGATGAAACATGGGACATAGTTTCTGCAGTATTTGAGTGTAAACCAGAGCAGGAATTACGTTTGGAGGCCTTAAAGGCCTGTTTAATTTCTGAGAACAAAGAAGAAGCCACAGCTCAGCAAAGACTTTCTAAGCAGAACGAATAGCAACAATGGAGTTCCCATATACAATAGCAGAGTTGGAAGGGACCTTGGAGGTCTTCTAGTCCAACCCCCTGCCTAGGCAGGAAACCCTATACCGTTCCAGACGTATGGCTATCCAACATCTTCTTAAAGACTTCCAGTGTTGGGGCATTCACAACTTCTGGAGGCAACTTCTGTTCCACTGATTAATTGTTCTGTCAGGAAATTTCTCCTCAGTTCTAAGTTGCTTCTCTTCTTGACAAGTTTTTAATGTTTTTATATTTTACCACGCTTAATTAAGTCTCCCTCTTATATCCGAATTTTCCCAGCTGTAGTATCCAATTCCAAAGTAAAGCAGCTCTTTTCAAGGTTTTTAACTT